GCCTTACTTCTTGCCTATCTCACACTGCGAATTTTTTCGAAGCTCTATACTAAATCTGTTACGAAAAAAGAACTAAACAAAATGAACACAAAACAATCACCTTTAAAAAAGGACTCGTAAATGGAAAAAACGAATGAAAAAAGAATGTTAACAACAAATACTTTTTCACACTCCACCCAGTTCTGCGGAATCAGAATCAACGTTGAGATTAAGCAAGCGAATGAGCTAATTGTAGTAAAGTGCCATGCAGATTTAAATTTTTCCTACTTATGACGAATGCAGCTATCGATTTTTTTTGCATGCTAGCATGCTAGTTAACATTCGTGTCAGTCAGCTGTTGGCTCTCACGCTGGCCAATAGAATCTTCCTGCCTATTCGTGGCAGCCAGCTATAGGCTCTCACCCTGGCTAAAACAAAATAGCCGCAAACTACATGAAAACTGCCGTAGAAGCATGAAAAAATCGATTATTTCCACTATCGATGGGAGTTGGGAAATGCAACGTCAGTTTTAACCTTCCCGCTAACTAGGAGCATGTGCATGTAAATTTTGGTGCAAATCCGTCGAAAATTGCGGCCGTGCACACACACACACACACACACACACACACACACACACACCTTTAAAACTATATTTCTTCGTGTATATATATATATATATATATATATATATATATATATATATACCTCGGAACAACTGAAGGAAATTGTTCGTGTATTGCTTAATATATCCTGCTTTTTATAGATAGAGATTTACTATATCAGCGCGTGTATTATTTTTATCACGTATTTAGTTTTTTATCACATTTTTATCATGCATTTCATATATACGCTCGTTACTTGCTATTCACTATACGACTGCGTTTATTATTTTTATCACATTTTTATAACATTTTTTTTTTTAGATTTTATCACATTTTTCCACATTTTATCACATTTTCATTTTTTGTCACATTTTTATCATGAAGTTCAAATACACACTGGTTAGTTGCTATTTACTATGCCAGCACCTGTATTATTTTTATCACATTTTTATCACATTTTTATCACATTTTTATCACATTTTTTCACATTTCATTGCATTTTTATTAGATTGTATTTTTATCACATTTTTATCAAATATAATTTAATTAATTTTTAAAGGTGACATTTCAACACGTCGTTTATGGATTTTGTGTGCTGTCTGTGAATTTTACTATTTAATAATAAGGGAAAACCCGAAACTAAATAAAGACACTTGGATAAAAGGATGAATAAATAGATCGATAGATCACGAAAAAGTAGATTATATATATATATATATATATATATATATATATAGTGTAACCCGGATATAAGAGAGTTGTCGGGACCGGAGAAGAAGTCTCTTATATACGGGTCTAATTTATATACATTAACACAGGCTCTAATTTGGGACCAGAGAGAATCTCTCTTATATCCGGGTTTCTCTTATATCCGGGTCTCTTATATCCGGGTTACACTATATATATATATATATATATATTATGAAATGGACAAAGTCCGACAATTATTTTAAGACATTTTTATGCATAACATTCTTTTTATAGATAACAAGTGTTTAAGTAAATGCTCTGTTTATAATAAACAGTATTAAACAACATTTGCCGGCTTCAATGTCCGAGAAATTTTCACAGAAAGTATTCGTCCTCTGACAGGATTCGAACCTCTATCCTATACGGAACAGTCATTTAGCTTGACGTGCCTTTACCGATTTGGATGTACGTGAGACGTTCGTGAAAGTTTGAAGTTTAAATACAGTAAATTCGACCTTGCTAATCGAACGCTCCGTGTCCCAGATCTCAGGCTCTGTAATCGAACCCTCGCACCTAGCCACTTCAGCCATCTCGAGGCGGGGAAAAGTCGTCCAAATTGTTTGTGGTCACTGTACATTCATCTGGCAATGTGATACGAGCGTTATGTCGATTTGGTGCGTTTTGAATATATACCCGCAGTTCAGCGGCCATATTCGTAAGACATTCTTTTTAACCCAGCCTTAACTACCAGAGCTTGATCTTACTTGAGAAGCAAGTAGGTCATCTCTGCCGTATCTAAGTCTACTTTCCCACTGCTTTGATAACCAGATCTACTCCAGTTTCACACACGGTTTCCGCAACTAATCTATTTTGAGCCTTCGATTAATCTCAGGAGGAAACGACCTAACACTAGATTTCAAAATAGCGTAATATGTTTAATTTCTAGTAATCCATCCCAAACTTAGGCCTG